CGCCTGCCTGCGGTCCTGCTGCCGGCCAGGTGTGTGTCCCGCGGCCCTGCTGCCTTCCGTCGCTGGAGCTGCCTGAGGCCGGGGCTTCGGCCCTGAAATGGTGTCTCGGCTCCTTGCCGTAGAGCGCAGGCCACGCCGCTTTGCACCTGTAAGGGGCTGCTGGGCGCAGGATCACTAAACAGATCAAAGTTTGGGTTTTTTTTTTATTATGAATGGCCTCTTCAAATTCTAAAGAGCCAAGTATCTCCAGCTTTTGATAATAGCACAAGAAGCCAGCCAGTAGTGTTTGGAATAAAAGGTATTTTCACAGTATAAGGAAATAAGTTACTAGGTTTCCCGGATTTTAGACTCTCCGGGCTTGTTTCCGTACTTTTTTTTTTTTCTTCTCTCTGAACGGGACTAGTTTCTACAAAGCCTTTTCCTCCATATCCAGTAACCTCTTCAGGAAGTCTCTTCTGTCTCAATTTATTACAAAGTCCGCTTTTATCTGAAATACCGAGGTGTAAAACTCGACATGTTTTTAAAGCAAAACATACTCTCCCAGGGCCCTGCTGTTTAAAAAAATGTTTAAAATTACGTTATTGCAGAACCACCTGCCATGTCTTCAGACAAAATTCGGAACATTGTAAGATTGTCAAAATCTAACCAACCTTATTACTATTTTGGTAACAAACTTGTTACAGATCATTAAGTCTTCTTTAACTTTATTTAAAAAAAAAGGCAAGAACTAGTACAATGGAAACTGAACTATTTGCTACCTCCTTTTGCCTCTTCATATCCCATCTCTTTGTCTCATCTAAATAAAAAGCTGTCTTTAATGTCATAAACTCTTTATAGCAGGAACTGTCATAAATACAAGCTTATACAGAGCCTACTAAAATAGAATTCCGAATAAAAAGGGATTACTATTCCTGGTAATGTTAAGTCATCTAAGTTAGGTTAAATATAAATGCACCTATGACTGTGTATTTGTTTATGGTTTTCTAATTACTCCTTGTGAAAAATATCTGTTTTCAACATATGACATACCAGATTTGGTCCTAGTGTAAATGTTTTTCCTATTTACTTCAGATGGAGTTGGACTTGTTTATGCCTCAGCTGAATTCAGCTATATAAACACTCTGCATGCTTCTGGTCCCTTTCAGTGATAGCAAAAACACAGAAAAATGCAAACTCAAAATGCTCAGTCAGTTTTAAGACCACCTCTGTTTTTGCAGTCGATGTTGGCTAACTTCAGAACTTGTTGCTAGCGATAGCAATAGGTGTTCTTACAAACTAACTCTGAAACCCATATACTGTGTTGAACTAAAAAATCTCCTTCCGGGTTTGGGCTGAAGAAATAAAGAAGCCAATAAAATAAACAGTTCAAAGTTTTAAAGTTGCTGGGTGGGTTGGTTGGTTTGTTTTCTGGTTTTGGTACTCATAATCTTCTTACCTCACAATTCTCCGTATAGTTTAAATTTTTTTTTCCAGAAAGTTCCTAAAGCAAAAATCTACAGGATTTAGGCACCTAAAACCTTTTTTTCAGTGTTGCATATAGTCCTTAATGACCTGAAGGCAGTAAGAGTTTAATAAACAGAGATAATTTGCCCAAGCTTTTCCCAACCAGATGAATGCTTTCTAATTGGATAGAGTATTTTGAGCAGTCAGTAATAGCCTGTAACAGCACCCTCTTTTTAGCTTCAGAAAGGTTTATTCCAAACCGGTTGATTCCAGGTTGTGAGCAGAGTATAATTATTTCTCTTTACTGTGACAACTGTCTAACAGGAGAACCTATTTGAATTTTTTAATATGAAGGTGTTATGTGGCACTTGGCAAATGGAGTGATTATGAATATGGGAAGTTAGATGTGACAATGGGGAAAGTGGCAGTGGGTAGCTGGGAATGGACAAATGAAGTCCTCTGAGGACAGCAGTCAGAACTGGAAAATGGAGTGGAAATGATTAAAACAACAACAAAAAAAAGCCCACACAACAGTTGGAGGAGGGAAAAATCCAGGGAAAATATTCATAGAAAGTTGGATAAAATATCAGAAGAGGAAAAAGCCCCTAGTGGGACCTGAAAGAAAATGAAAGGAGCTGCAAGAGACTGAGATCTACTCAAAAGGTTAATTGAGCTTTATGGTGGATGTTGATGGAAGATAAGAGTATGAGAACTGTCATTTTTGTCTTAAAACTTGTATATATTTTTTCAGTTGAGAGAAGTACATTTAGGAAATACTGATGAAGTGAAAGAGGAGATATATTTCCAAAAGCTGCAAATTGTACAATCGTGTAGTCAGTCTCTTAGGTGGCCTACTAGTTATGTTTTGCAGCACAACATAATGCTTCAAGCTGGGAGTGAAAAAAATTAACAAGTAGTCTCATTAATTACTAATTAGTATGCTTAAAGTATATAACTTAAGCACTTCTATAATATATTTAATAAGGGAAGAAAAGCAAAATACTACAAGGTATTTCAAAAAGGCAGGAAAACTGCAAAAGAAGCAAAGGTAAAGAAACATGACACAGTATGGAATCAGGGATTGAGAAACGATAGGAATTTGTATTTCATCAAGCTAGTGACAGGAAGGAGACTGAAATGGTACATAACCTCATGAGCAACATTTGAAAGATGGAGTATTGTAGCAAGAAGTGTGTATTCTACAAGCTCCAGTCCTGCTGACTCACTGATTTTTAGCAAGTCATTTCCTTCACTTGTGCCTCAGTTTCATTTTTTGCACAATAGGAATGTGCACTTGCCTCAGAATGATTGAAACTTTAATGTTTCCATACCGCTACCCTCTCAAGTGCAAGTATGAGAACTGTAGATTACTTCAATAGTAGGGCTAAGTAGTAAAAGCATGCGGTTTGCTTTTTGTCAAACCACCACTTTTAAATACGCTTCTTCGTTATGGGCCAAATTCTGAAATTCTTTCTGGAACATCACTTATGTTAGCTTGAATAAGAGTTTTACTTAAGTGAGGAACAAACTGAGTATATTGCGATGTGGCTTGCAAGTTTTTTGGGTAACTATTGTAACGCAAATGGTAAGAAGTGCAAGTATGAAATTAATTGTGATTTCTATGCAATGTATGCTTCATTACAATCAAATAAATAGCCTTCTTAACAATAAGCAATACGTGTTAGCTTAGTTAATTTTTGTTCTTTTTTTCCTTCCCCCTTGCTTCTGTTCTAACAAATACATTCAATGGCAGAATGGTTGTGGATATCAAGTCCATTCACAGTGCATTGAGAAAGACCTTTAGCTCAAGAGCCGCTCTGGTAGTACCACACTTGTTCTTTTGGTAGTTCAGCTATACAAAAGCTGAACTGAGCTATACAAAAAAGCTATACAATATATTGGGAAACTGTTGCATTACTGTTAGGGTCTTCCTAGGGACTGCATTTCCAGCACTGTGGTGGGGATAATATGCGTTTTCTGCAGGATTTACAAAGGGGGAAGGAGGTAGCAGGGGAGAAATTAATTCGTGATTGCAGGTGGAGCAATGCTCTTGAAATTTCATATCCTCTCAGAAATGATCACCAGCCTAGTGAAAAATATCTGTATACAATGTTAACATTGAGCTGAGTAGTTAAGATTTTAATAATTGTGGGTATGGGGCTATAACCAACCTGTCAGAGTTCCCTCATGGAAAAAGGCTAACTAATAAATCAGGCATATAGAGAACCTGTTTATTTTAAGATGTTTCTTTTGAATTTTTTTCCTGAATAAATTGTACTTTGGTGTGAGAACTGGCCACTAATTAACCCT